AAAGTACTTCTCACCTGTAGTAAGTCTCCTGCCTGCAGCCTGACCCCCAAAGTGGCGATCGGCATTTCCCTGGGAATGTCAGAAAGGGCCAGGAGAACTAAGCACTGAGGCTACCCCTCCTGCCCTCCCTCTCATGATCTGCCTCAGTTCACAGAATCAGCATTGCTGTCAGATGGCCATCGAGCCTCTGCTTAAAAAACCTCCAAAGAAGGGGAGCCCACCACCTCCCGGGGGAAGCCTATTCCACTGAGGAACCACTCTGTCAGGAAGTTCTTCCTAATGTTTAGCCAAAAACTCTTTTGATTTGACTTCAACCCGTTGGTTCTAGTCCGACCACCTGGGGTGACAGGAAACTCCGTCTTTTACATGACCGCCCTTCTGGTCTGTTGAGTTGAATGGGACTTACTCGCTGAGGTTGCCAGCTCTGGGTTGGAAAATACCTGGAGACTTTGGGGGTGGATCCAGGAGGCTTGGGGAGGGGAGGGGCCTCAGCCAGGGTATAAGCCCATAGAGCCCACCCTTCAAAGCAGCCATTTTCTCCAAGGGAGCTGACCTCTGTCGGCTGGAGATTGGTTGTAAAAGCCGGGGGGTCTCCAGGCCCCACCTGGATGCTGGCAACCCTATTGCTCGTTAATAAGTATATTTAGGATTGCGACCCAGTTCATGTGAAAAACACACACAAAGCAAGCAATAAAAAGCCTGGCTGAATAAAAAGACGTTGATTGGTGCCTGACAGTGCCGTCAAGGGTTGTGAACTCTGTAAGTAAAGGTAAAGGTTCCCTTGCTCGAAAGCCAGTCAAATCCGACTCTAGGGTTGCGGTGCTCATCTCCGTTTCAAAGCCGAAGAGCCAGCGCTGTCCGAAGACGTTTCCGTGGTCATGTGGCCGGCATGACTAAACACCGAGGCGCACGGAACGCTGTTCCCTTCCCACCGAAGTGGTACCTATTTATCTACTTGCAATTTCTTGCTTTCAAACTGCTAGGTTGGCAGGAGCTGGAACTAGAGATGGGAGCTCACTCCGTCATGCGGCACCCGGGTCCCGAACTGCTGAACTACTGACCTTCCACAGCCTGCAGTTCAGCATCTTAACCACTTGAGCCACCGCAGCTCTGACCTGGGATAGTTCTAGAGATTTGGGGGTGGTGCCTGGGAAATGGGAAATCTGGGGAGGGATTTCTTCTAGAATCTATGGTATGCCATAGAGTTTGCCCTCTGGAGCGGCCACTTTCTCCAGGGGTGCCAAAGACAATAGGGAACGCTTAGTGTAGAAGTATAGCCACAAGCAATATCCTCCAAGGGAAGACCATCTACTGTAGATGGTCTTCCCTTGGTGGGTATTGTTTGTGGCTACACTTTCTCTCGGGGAAATGATCTCAGTCATCTGGAGATGAGTCGTAATTCTAGAAGAATTCTGGGCCCAACGCTGGCAAGGCAACCCAAGTTAACCACCCTTCCACTAAAGTCTGTAGGCTTAGTCTGCTCCCTCAAAGCTGTGGAGTCTTGTGAGCAGGGGTCATTTCGTAGAAAAAGAGGTGCAGGAGCTCATTAGCATAACTCATTAGCATAATTCATTTGCATATGCCACACCCCCTGACATCACCGGAAGTGTGTCAGAAGGGAACACCCACCGATCAGGCTCCACTGGACTGTTTTGGATTGCTAGCTATTGGGGGGGGGGGACGTGCAGATCTGTCCTCGCAGAGGAGGGGGAGCTTGTACCCGAATAAAACTTGGTCTTAAAGGTGCCACTGGACTGTTTTGAGCCAGTGGGCCAGGGGGAGCTCTGCAACTTACCTGGCTGCTTCTTGCTCTGACTGAGGGCTGCTGGGAGCAGGGGGCGGGGCTTATTGCATGTGCCCGCCCCCTGGGCTCTTTACTGCCGGAGCTCCGCTCCTGTGCGTTCCTGCAGGAAATGACCCCTGCTTGTGAGCAAAAATTCTACTCTGTGAGCTACTGGCATTAAAGATGTGAGCCAGCGATTTGGCTGCTGTGTAAATCGGTTTGCTCTGGGGCCCTCCTTCCTGAGCTGAGACAAAAATGTGTGAGCCAGAGACTAAAAAACTGTGAGCTAGCTCACACTAGCTCAGCTTAGAGGCAACAAGAGCTTAGAGCAGACCCAGGAAGGGAGTCCCAGACTGTGGGAAAGCCCCTGTCTCTGCGAATCACCACACACACACGGGTTGTGGTGTTTATACAGGACTTCAGCATCAGATCTTAACCAACAGGGCAGTTCATATTGTCAAGAAGCTGGAGTTGCGATCAATGTTCCCTCTAAGCTGTGGAGTCTTGTGAGCAAAAATTCTACTTTGTGAGCTACTGGCATGAAAGCTGCGAGCGAGCGAATTGGCTGCCGCATTAAGTTAGTTTGCTCTGGAGCCATCCTCCCTGAGCTAAGACAAAAATGTATGAGCCAGAGGCTAAAAAACTGTGAGCTAGCTCACACTCACTCAGCTTAGAGGGAACGCTGGTTGCGATTCTTCGGAACTTAGCCCAGGCAACCTTTTTCTTTTCTTTTTTGCCTGCATTTCAGAAAACACAAATCTACTTGTAAAGGCAGTGGTGTCAGGCCCATAGCTACAGTGGGGCACTTGGGGGGCCCGCCCCTTAATTAAAAGTCCCACCCCACAAACAGCCATGCCAGAAACCTTATTTTTGAGGAGAGAAAGAAGAAGAAGAGGAGGAGGTTGGATTTATACCCCGCCCTTCACTTGGAGTCTCAGAGCGGCTTACAAACTCCTTTCCCTTCCCCTCCCCACAACAGACACCCTGTAAGGTGGGTGGGGCTGAGAGAGCTCTGACACAAACTGCTCTTTCAGGAACAGCTGTGCCAGAACTATGGCTTGCCCAAGGTCACATCAGCAGGTGCAAGTGGAGGAGTGGGGAATCAAACCCGGTTCTCCCAGATTAGAGTCCACACACTTAACCACTACACCAAACTGCCACTCACAAGTTCTTAAGGCTTCATGCCTGTACCACTGGGCCCTGATGTGGGGTTGGTCACCATTCACCTGGGCCAGAGGTTTCCTTGCATGAGGTTGCCAGAGGTGGGAAGGAGGAAAAGCTGAAGATGGGGGGGAGGGCAGATCAAGGTAGGTTGGCTCCTGGATGGGAAGGAAGCAGAAAAGAGAGAAGAAGAAGAAGAAACTGGATTTATACCCCGCCCTTCACTACCCAAGGGAGTCTCAGAGCGGCTTACAAACTCCTTTCCCTTCCCCTCCCCACAACAGACACCCTGTGAGGCAGGTGGGGCTGAGAGAGCTCTGACAGAAACGGCTCTTTTTCAAGAACAGCTCTTATCAGAGCTACGGCTTTCCCAAGGTCATCCAGCAGGTGCAAGTGGAGGAGTGGGGAATCAAACCTGGTTCTCCCAGATTAGAGTCCGCACACTTAACCACTACATCAAACTGGCTCTACACCACACACACACCCCGTGCCTGCTCCTGGCAGCGGCCAGGGGAGAGAGCGGCGTGCCCACGGCCTTCCCTCTCCCTCCCACTGTGGAATTTGGGGGAAGGGGCATCATGGGACCTGGGGAAAGAGAGCTCAGAGGGCATTTAATTTCAAAAGCATTCCCATGAGCCTTCGGGAAACACGCAAATCAATTTGCATGTTTCCCAAAGGCTCATGGGATTGCTTTTGAAAGACTCACCATGACTTAGGTGGTCTACGGCAGGACTGGGCTAGCAGAAAGGGGGACTGTTGGAGATGTGTTGAAGGTGCCACTCCTGAGCGCCCTTCCTAAGCTCTCTTGCCCTGTGGAAGGGAACTCAGGTGGTATTTAAATGCCTTCTGAAGGCAATTAAGTGCTCTCTGATACGTTTTTTCCCCTTTGTTGCTGTGATGGGGATCGCCTGCCTCCGTTGTAGCCCTTTGCCACCAGGAAATAAATCTCTGAGCAGTGTGTGGGGATGCCTCCCGACGTGCGTCACCGCTCACTCACAACTTTCATGCCACTAGCTCACAAAGTAGAATTTTTGCTCACAAGACTCCACAGCTTAGAGGGAGCGTTGGTCACAGCTAGTAAATGCATCCTCTAGACGCAGGTTTGTGCTCCGGTAGGGTTGACAAGCCGGCGGGGACTTTCCAGGAGGGGAGGGAAGAAGCACGATTGAGCTCCAAAGGGAGTTCTGGCCGTCACTTTTAAAGGGACCGTGTTCCTTTAAAATGCCTTCCCTCCATTGGAAATGATAGGGGATGGGGGCACCTTCTTTTGGGGCTCATAGAATTGGACCCCAGGGTCCACTCTTTTTGAAACTTGGGACGTTTTCTGAGGAGAGGTGCCAGAAGCTATGCTGAAAATTTGGTGCTTCTACCTCAAAAAAAGCCCCCCTCCAGAGCCCCAGATACTCACAGATCAATTCTCCATTATAGCCTATGGGGACAAGTCTCCATAGGGTATAATGGAGCGCCCAGCGGACATTCCCCCCACACACACACACACAGACACACACTTTCTGATAATGCTGAAGCGGCGGGAGGGCCTCCAAACCAGGGGATCCCCGGCCCGCAACTGGGGATTGGCAACCCTATGCCCCAGAGAGAAGTGGGCCTAAGAGAGATTCTGTACCGTGGCACAGATTGGCACAGATAGCAGAATCCAGCTTCTCTTCTCGCAGAATCAGTGGAGCAGAATCTTCTTATTTTAAGAACGCACGGGCATGAGCCGCTCTGATGAGCATCTGAGTTCCACCGGGAGCATGAGGTCTGTGTACACAAGATGTATTCAGCAGCGTGCAAATGAGAGGGACTCTGTTTCCAACGGGTCAAAATGTTTCCACTGTTTGCACAGCCTCGTCCTCAGCTTAACAGGTACACATGTTTTTTTTTAAAAAAAACCCCATCCTCTTTGCACACACTTCTCCTGGCGTCTTTGTCCTTTTTAAGTTTGGACGCAGCCTGCCCAGTTCGTTCTCTGAGGCTATCCGGCTGCCGGTATCGGGTTCTCCCACGACACGAGAAAGGGGAGGGAGCTCAGATCTTATTTAAAGTCTCTGACTAACTATTTTGGGGCTGACCGTTGTCAAAGACGGAGGCAAGGGAACTGCGACACGAGCAACAAGATCCAGGAATCAGAGGGCAGGTGAGGAAAGAGGGACTGGGAGCCCATCCAGGTGAGGGGGTGCTGCAGGACAAGGGTGGGGGTGGAGCCATGGAGGCCTGGAGGGGATGGCAAGTGAGGGCAAGGGACCTGAAAGGCGTAAGAGGTGACTTCAAGGGCTAGCTGATCGCGTTATCAAAAACAGAGACCAAAGGCCTGTATGAATTATACATTGGCTGGACAGCCTTTCTCTATCACTGCCCCTTATGCCTATTGCTCCCTACCATTCTCCCTCACTGCCCCTTATGCCTGGAGCTCCCTGCCATGCTACCTCACTGCCCTTTATGCCTGAAGCCCCCAAAGACGCTCCATCGCTGCTCCTTATACCTAGAGCTCCCTCTCATGTGTCCTCACCACCCCTTACGCCTAGAGCTCCCTGCCATTCTCCCTTACTGCCCCATATGCCTAGAGCTCCCTCTCATGCGTCCTCACTGCCCCTTATACCTGGACTCCCTGCCGTTCTCCCCCACTGCCCCTTATGCCTGGAGCTCCCTGCCATGCGTCCTCACTGCCTTTTATGCCTGAAGCTCCCTGCCATGCTCCCTCGCTGCCCCTTATGCCTGGAGCTCCCTGCTGTTCTCCCTCGCTGCCCTTTATGCCTGGAGCTCCCTGCCATGCTCCCTCATTGCTCCTCATGCCTAGAGCTCCCTCTCACACGTCCTCACTGCCCCTTATGCCTGGAGCTCCCTGCCGTTCTCCCTCGCTGCCCTTTATGCCTGGAGCTCCCTGCCATGCTCCCTCATTGCTCCTCATGCCTAGAGCTCCCTCTCACACGTCCTCACTGCCCCTTATGCCTGGAGCTCCCTGCCGTTCTCCCTCGCTGCCCTTTATGCCTGGAGCTCCCTGCCATGCTCCCTCATTGCTCCTCATGCCTAAAGCTCCCTCTCACACGTCCTCACTGCCCCTTATGCCTGGAGCCCCCTGCCGTTCTCCCTCGCTGCCCTTTATGCCTGGAGCTCCCTGCCATGCTCCCTCATTGCCCCTCATGCCTAGAGCTCCCTCTCACACGTCCTCACTGCCCCTTATGCCTGGAGCTCCCTGCCGTTCTGCCTCACTGCTCCTTATCCCCGGAGCTCCCTCCCCCCTTTATGCCTGGAGCTCCCTGCCATGCTCCCTCATTGCTCCTCATGCCTAGAGCTCCCTCTCACACGTCCTCACTGCCCCTTATGCCTGGAGCTCCCTGCCATGCTCCCTCATTGCTCCTCATGCCTAGAGCTCCCTCTCACACGTCCTCACTGCCCCTTATGCCTGGAGCTCCCTGCCATGCTCCCTCATTGCTCCTCATGCCTAGAGCTCCCTCTCACACGTCCTCACTGCCCCTTATGCCTGGAGCTCCCTGCCATGCTCCCTCATTGCTCCTCATGCCTAGAGCTCCCTCTCACACGTCCTCACTGCCCCTTATGCCTGGAGCTCCCTGCCGTTCTCCCTCGCTGCCCTTTATGCCTGGAGCTCCCTGCCATGCTCCCTCATTGCTCCTCATGCCTAGAGCTCCCTCTCACACGTCCTCACTGCCCCTTATGCCTGGAGCTCCCTGCCGTTCTCCCTCGCTGCCCTTTATGCCTGGAGCTCCCTGCCATGCTCCCTCATTGCTCCTCATGCCTAGAGCTCCCTCTCACACGTCCTCACTGCCCCTTATGCCTGGAGCTCCCTGCCGTTCTCCCTCACTGCTACCTCCCTGCCCCTTATGCCCGGAACTGGGAGAAGGGCTGTGGCTCAATGGAACAGCCTCTGCTTTCCTTGCAGAAGGTCCCAGGTTCAATCCCCGGCAGCTCCAGTTGAAAAGGCCAGGGAGTAGCTGATGTGAAAGACCTCCGCCTGAGACTCTGGAGTGCAGCTGCCAGTCTGAGTAGACATTACCGACCTTGAGGGACCGATGGTCCGATTCAGTATCAGGTGGCTCCATTTTCCCTCGCTGCCCCTTATGCCTGGAACTTCCTCTCAGAATACCTACATGTGCCTCCCTCCCTCTCTCTCTCTCTCTCTCTCGATCTTTTCTGTCATATCCCTCCTCGAACTGTAACCACGTCTCAGTGCAAGTATGCATTAGAGTCTTGGGGGGGGGGAATCAGGGTGGCGATATTCTTCATTCTCGTTTTCTCCCAACCTTCTTCCAAGCGGTTCGGGGCAAGATGCACGGTCCCCTCCGCCCCATTTTTACCCTCACAGCAACCCTGCGAGGTAGGCTCGGCTGAAAGAGGGCAACTAGCCCGAGGTTACCCAGTGAGCTTCCACGGCCGAGTGAGGACAGAAGAGGTCGTAGCCTGATGCTCTCTCCTCTATGCCACACTGCTCAGTTTAAGGGTATCGTTAGAAAAGCAACTGGGCATTTCTTTCTCCTTTTTTTATTTTCATCAATCTTTATTGAAAGTTATAGAAGAATGACAACGATCACAAGAATAGCAGAACTATCGTAATAGTATAATGCTATACCAAAAACACCACAGTAAAGCAATTACTGAACTGTAGATACATAAATACACGTATTGCTGGACAAATCGTGTAACAAGCTGACTAAAAATATATCTAGTTACAGTACAATAAAATATGTACTTAGAAGAAGAAGCGAAGGGATTGGATTTATACCCCACCCTTCACTACCCAAAGGAGTCTCAGAGCGGCTTACAAACTCCTTTCCCTTCCCCTCCCCACAACAGACACCCTGTGAGGGAGGTGGGGCTGAGAGAGCTCTTGACAGAAACAGCTCTTGAAGAAGAAGAGATTGGATTTATACCCCACCCTTCACTACCCAAAGGAGTCTCAGAGCGGCTTACAAACTCCTTTCCCTTCCCCTCCCCACAACAGACACCCTGTGAGGCAGATGGGGCTGAGAGAGCTCTGACAGAAACTGCTCTTTTTCAAGAACAGCTCTGACAGAACTACGGCTTGCCCAAGGTCATCCAACAGGTACAAGTGGGGGAGTGGGGAATCAAGCCCGGTTCTCCCAGATTAGACTCTGCGCACTTAACCACTATACCAAACTGGCTCTCTTAGTAGTAGGTGCTGGCTACTTAGTGGTAGATGCTGATGGCCGTGTTATACATTAATAGGATAACCCTAACCAGATTCCTCAAAGTAGAGTCAAAATACTGTGGTATTGATGTTCCATAAGAACATAAGAGAAGCCATGTTGGAGAAGGCCAATGGCCCATCCAGTCCAACGTTCTGTGTCACACAGTAGCCAAAGATACCAGGGGCCATCGGGAGGTCTAGCAGTGGGGCCAGGACACTAGAAGTCCTCCCACTGTTGCCCCCCCCAAGCACCAAGAATACAGTGCATCCCTTGCCCCAGACCGAGAGTTCCTATCTATACCTTGTGGCACTGTTCCCTCTAAGCTGAGTTAGTGTGAGCTAGCTCACATTTTTTAGCCTCCGCCTCACTCCTTTTTCTCTTCACTCAGGAGGGACGGCTCCAGAGCAAACTAATTTATGCAGCAGCCAAATCACCTGCTCATAACTTTAATGCTGGTAGCTCACAAAGTAGAATTTTTGCTCACAGGACTCCACAGCTGAGAGCGAGCATTGCTTGTAGCTAATAGCCACCGATGGACCTCTGCTCCGTATGTAGATCCAATCCCCTCTTGAAGCCGTCCGTGCTTGTAGCCGCCGCCACCTCCTGTGGCAGTGAATTCCACGTGTTAATCACTCTTTGGCTTCCCAGCCGTGCTTCTTCGACCTCAAATTGTGTGTTGTGAATTCCAAAAAAGAGGACCATTTTCCTGTTAACTAAGACCAGTCCTGGTTTGACAGAGAGCTGGGGTGGCATTTCTCATCCTGTGGCGGCTCGTCCCTGTTGTTATACACTCGTGCGCATGCACCGGGCCCTGGTCCACAGATCCTCACGGTGACCTCTGTTCATCTGCAGGTTCGGTTCCTTTGTCGGGCGGCTCCCTTCTCCACAGCGATGTCGTCACAGCTGGAAAGCGCCATGGAAGGCCTCATCACCGTCTTCCACAACTACTCGGGCAAGGAGGGCGACAAGTTCAAGCTGAGCAAGAAGGAGCTGAAGGAGCTGATGCAGAACGAGCTCAGCAGTTTCTTGGAGGTACAGAGGGGAACCCGGCACATTCCGCCTTCTTTCACAAGCACCAACCCCCCCTCCACTTACCCTCCTGAGTTCCAGTCCAGTGTTCCCTCCAAGCTGAGTTAGTGAGCGCTAGCTCACAGTTTTTTAGCCCCCGGCTCACAAATTCTTCTCTCAGCTCGGGAAGGATGGCTCCAGAGCAGACTAATTTACGCAGTAGCCAAATCGCTCGCTCCCAACTTTAATGCCCGTAGCATTAAACAGAGTAGGATTTTTGCTCAAAAGCAGGGGTCATTTCCTGCAGGAGCGCACAGAAGCAGACCTCCGGCAGTAAAGAGCCCAGGGGGCGGGCACATGCAACAAGCCCCACCCCCTGCTCCCAGCAGCCCTCAGTCAGAGCAAGAAGCAGCCAGGTAAGTAGTACAGCTCCCCCCAGCCCCCTAGTCCAAAACAGTCCAGTGGCGCCTTTAAGACCAAGTTTTATTCAGGTACAAGCTCTCCCTCCTCTGCGAGGACAGATCTGCATGTTCCCCCCCCCCCAAAATAACTAGCAATCCAAAACAGTCCAATAGAGCCTGATTGGTGGGTGTTGCCTTCTGACACACTTCCAGTGATATCAGGGGGTGTGGCATATGCAAATAAGTTATGCTAATGAGCTCCTGCACCTCTTTTTCTACGAAATGATCCCAGCAAGGAACCAATGGCGAGGCTATTCCCGCTGGCAACGGGACCAGCAGCCACTGATGCTCTTCCTCTGCTCACAACTTTAATGCCAATAGCTCACAAAGCAGCATTTTTGCTCACAAGGCTCCACAGCTTAGAGGGAACATTGCTTGTGAGCAGGGGTCATTTCGTAGAAAAAGAGGTGGAGCTCATTAGCATAACTCATTAGCATAACTCATTTGCATAGGCCTGTTAAAATCCCATCTGTCTCGCCATCGCCCCAGCCAGGCCTAGACTGTCATTAAAGTGTCGAATTCTCTGCCAAATAATTTTAAGTAAATGAAAGCATTTGGGATTGCTTTCCTTACTTTGTTTGGGTCATCTTAAGTTGTTTTTTCTAAAGTAAAACCTCGGTATTCAGGTTAAATGGCCGTGTTGGCACTTTGCGATAAATAAGTGGGTCTTGGGTCGCAGTTTGGGCACTCGGTCTCTAAAAGCTTCGCCATCACTGGCCTAAGGAGAAGGGTGGGAAAGGGCGGAATAAAAAAACAAAGTGGCTCCTTCGCTGCCGTCTGAGATTAAAGGTGGGCTTTGGGACGGAGACTGCTCCCGCGCCTGTCGGTCATGCGTAATCCCCCATCCCCTGTGCGTTCTGCGCTCCAGAACCCGAAGGATGCAAGCGTCGTGGACGGCATCATGCACGACTTGGACGAGAATGGCGACGGGGAGGTGGACTTCCCAGAGTTCGTGACCCTGGTGGCCGCCCTGACCGTGGCTTGCAACGAATTCTTCTGCGAGGACGTATGAGGCATCTGAAGAAGGCCCGACCCGGGAGCTGCTGCGTGGCAGAGGCCCGGTCGCACCCTGCCATCTCCCGCCCAGGCCGCCTGCTGTGTCCCGCAACTTCCCCCTACCGTTCAGCATCAAGCGTGCGCCTCGAGGTTCCCAATAATCAACCATTGTGATGGGCCCTGCTTATTAAAGCCATTTCACCTGCACTCGGTCTGGCCTCTTCTGTTGAGGGGAGACGAGTAAGTCGGGAAAAGAGGGGGATGGGGGTGGGGGAGGCAGGAAAGAGACCCGCGGAGGAAGTCTCACTGATGAAAATAAAGGGCCTGTTTCTAAGAAGGCAGGAAGGAGGAGGAGGAGGAGGAGGA